ATAATAATAATAATAATAATAATAATAATAATAATAATAATAATAATAATAATAATAATAATAATAATAATAATAATAATAATAATAATAAAGTAAACAAAAACTGGCTTGTCACCGGCGCTGGAAGATTTTAGAAAGAAGTTGAACTATTGGGTAGTTTGGACAATATTTTGCATACAGATCAGGATGATGCAACCCTTCAAACAGCCTTCAAACAGCCTATACACTCAAAATAATAATGGTTTATTCATATTGATATTTTGACACATTTTGAGTAATAATCTTAAAATCAATAGGGCCTACATACAATTTTTATTGATGTGCACTGCCAATTTTGATATCAATTTTACCGCAATGTGGCTGTGTTGAAAAATGCTACCACCTTCGATAAGAAAATCAAAAGGTAAAAGGTTTCAAAGTGACCCACCAATCCACTGATATCCAAGCTCAAACACAAAAATGTGTTTTCATGTCAATAAGGAACTTAGGTCTAAGTTTGGTATTAATGCATCCAATGGGGATCAAGTGGTTCTACAATATATAGGTCTACTGTAGATACCTGATTTTCTTGTTTCATATTATTTCCCCTACTATACATCAACCACGAAGATTTTAAAAATTATTCCTAATCTTAGTCTAAAAATATGCTTTAAAAATGTATATCGGCCGCCGAGTCCTCCCACATATCGGCCGCCATAAGGCCAAAAATAAAAACAATTTTTTTTTGTGTGTTGGCCACGTTTTGGGGAAAAAAAATGGGTAGTTCGGTAGAAAAACTTTTTACAACCAAATATGTGTAGAAATGTGTATAGGCCTATAAATACAACAATTTTGAATTCGCATCGCATACCATCAAGCAAAATAGGCTAGCCCTGGCAACTAGCCTCGCCAAGGATATTCCAGCCTTGTTTGCTCATAAAAAATATATTGTTCGTTGTCAATAATAAAAAAAAAAAAGCCGACCCTTAATTTTGTAAAATTTGGGTCGGTCGGGCGCCCTCTGTTGTTAACTCCATTACTAGGGAGTCCGGGAGGCGATTTTTTTTATCGTAGGTAAGTTGAGCAAAAAATCATGAATTATTCATAATAGTGTTTGAAGGCATTACTAGCGCATGCACAATCTCGCTTCGCTAAACCTACTGTATTTTTCTGTCTTCCAACCGCAACCAAAACAAAGATAAAAACAAGCTTGTGATTACTGTTTACATAAATGTCTCTTCCTTTATCGTGCCTCAATGAACTGGGTTTATATAAACAGAAACACCGCAGAAAAAAAATTATACATATCATAAGAATAATAATAAGTAAAATTAATAAAAAAAAATTCATACATATCATAAAAAAAATTAAAATAAATACATATCACAAGAATAATAATAAGTAAAATTAATACATAATATGAGAATAATAGTAAGTTTAGATTGCTTCGGCCTCCATGTTGTACTAAATACTCTGACGTGAAAAAGCTACAGCGAGTACGAGATTGCGCACGCGCAAGCAATGCCTTCGCCCACCATAAATGAATAATACATTAATTTGTGCTCAACTTACCTACGATAAAACAAATTCGCGTCCGGGAGTCGTAACTACACCAGGCCTACTAGTCTGTTGTCTTACCGGTATGTCATATTTTTTAACTTTGTCATTTTTTTGGGTAGATTCTTGGCAAACATGTCTAAAAATATATATAAAAGAAAAGTGTAACAACATGTACTGAACATCTATCATGCCATTACTATACATAGGCCTATATCTGTACAGAATAATAATAATAATAATAATAATAATAATAATAATAATAATAATAATAATAATATTAATAATAATAATTAATAAACATTTAAGCCTATATGAAATTGTTGCCCCCTCGTTTAAAAAAGTCTGGATCCTCCCTCTGTGGGATGATGCCATGCAAACTTTGTTGATACACAAATCCATTCATCCAAATCACTTCTATGAGATTCACACTCTCTGTACATAAACACTAGCAGTCTGACAAAAGTGATGCTGCGGCATTCTAATTCAAAAACTCAGACATTGTGTTCAATTTAGAAAAAAGTTCAATTAAATGTATTTTGCAGCTGATACCAATGTATGTTTCTTAAATTTTGACATTTTAGTCCTCAAATTCTACTTTTGAAGATGCGGTGCTCTACAAAAAAGCCGCTACAGTTAAATAATTTGTTGAAAAGAAAATGTTGTCAAGAATGATCCATTTGACATGCAGGGTACAAACACTGATTTTAGCTGAGCGAAACCATTCGTACCAGCCTTTTTTGACTGAGGCACTTTGTGGTCTTGTGGTGCGGCAGCAGCGCTACAGTAATTGACAGTGTGGTAGAAACCACTAACTGAATGGTGTTAACATATCTGCCTAAGTTGATGTTGCCTCACAGCAAGAAGATCATTTTTTTTAAAATGATTTAACAGTGTTAACGGCTACCTTGATTTATGTTATATGCACCTATTTGCTTCTAGCCGTACCTATTGTGTAATAGAGTGTATC